CAAGGGCACTGTGCTAGGTACTGATCAAGGGTTCTATCCCAGTGGGAGAAAGGGAGAGGAAATATTAGAGGAAACCAGCAGATTACATTGCCCCAATTTTATAGAGAGTCATATAGTTTTCTCTCTCACTCTAAGCAATATTATCCATGATATCTCTGATTTCATGGGCTAGTTATATGTTTTTCTAAAATACATTAAAATAAATAACCATTAAAATAAATGCATATATACATATAGGTGTGTGTGTATATATACGCTAGAGGGTGGGAGACTGTTACGGTCCCCAGAGACCCAGGCCTCTGGTTATTCATACCTTATGTAGACCCCTCCCCTTGAATCTGGACTGAACTGTGACCTGCAGTAAGGCAACAGAATGCAGCAGAAGTGACACTATGCTTGTTTCAACCCCCAGCCTTTTTTTTTCTTAAAGATTTTATTTATTTTATTTTATTTATTTATTTTTTAAAAGATTTTATTTATTTATTTGACAGAGAGAGACACAGCAAAAGAGGGAACACAAGCAGGGGGAGTGGGAGAGGGAGAAGCGGGTTTCCCGCTGAGCAGGGAGCCCGATGTGGGGCTCGATCCCAGGACCCTGGGAGCATGACCTGAGCCAAAGGCAGATGCTTAACGACTGAGCCACCCAGGCGCCCCTTATTTATTTATTTTAAAGAGAGAGAGAGAGAGCAGGGGGAGGGTCAGAGGGAGAGGGAGAGAAAGAATCCCAAGCAGACGCTGTGATGAGCACGGAGCCCAACACAGGGCTCCATCTCACAACCCTGAGATCATGACCTGAGCTGAAATCAAAAGTCGGATGCTTAACTGACTGAGCCCCCCAGGCGCCCGTCAAGCCCCAGCTTTAAGAAGCTCCCACAGCTCCTTCTTTTGTATCCTGGGGAAAGTTGAGTGCTATATAAAAACTCTGACCACCTCAAGACCATCATTGTGTGAGGAAGCCCAAGCTAATTACCTAGAGACCACGTGGAAGAAAACAGAAAAACCCAGCTGACAACTGACAGTGAGAACCAGGTCCCAGATACATGGCCATGTCTGAGCTTTTCCAGCTAACTCCCAGCACTATGGACCACTCCAGCTGACGTCGTGTAGAGCAGAACTGAGCTGTCCCCGGTGAGTCCAGCCCAAACTGCAAACTGAGCAAATAAATGGTGATTTTCTTTTAGGCTGTTAAGTTTTGGGGTGGTGTGTTATGCAGCATAACACACCTGTATAACAACTAAAATCATGTTACGCATCATTACTCTTGGAAAATTCTGGATTAAGTGACGCTCTAATGTTCTAGAAGAGCATGAGCTCTCTCTCTCTTTCTCTCTCTCACACACACACAGACTCAGACATCACCAGATAGATGCACAAGCAGGAAATTGATTGAAGACTTGTGGCTTGCCAACATGACCACAGTAACCTCCCAAATGGTCTCTGTTTTTTTCTTGTCCCCTTGTACCTGGGAGCAGCTAAAGAGAGAACATTTGCAAAATGCAAATCTGATCACATCACTCCCCTGCTTATCACCCACTGCAGTGTGCACGAGGGGTCTCCTCAGGTTTAACTATACACTCACACTCAACAGATGATCATAAGCCACACTTGGCGTTGGGCTATAGGACAGGAACCTTAGCTTGCTAGCATGGCCCTCAATGAATGCTAGCACCAGGCACTTCTCTCAGTGGGGGGTCCTTCCTGCTGGCCAGCAGAGTAAAGCACGGGTTCAAGGAGATGGGATCCCATCAGTGGGTGCAGGAGCCACCCTAGCTTAAAAGCTTCATGCCTCATGGGAGCCCACATCTTTGGACCTGCCCAGTTACATGAGTCACCATGCTCAGGAAGCCCAAAGTATGATTTTCCACCAGGTATTTATTGTTCCTTCCAGTCCAGATGTAGGTTACCAATCTCTCGATCCTTGTTTTTTAAAAAATTATTTTTTAGAACAATTCTAGATTTATAGAAAAATTGGGAAGGTAGTACAGAGAGTTCCCATAGACCTGGCACCCAGTTTCCCCTATTATTAACATCTTACGTTAGTACAGGACATTTGTTACAATTAATGAACCAAAATGGATACATTATTATTAGCTAAAGCCCTACTTATTCAGAGTTCCTTAGTATTTACCTACTGTCCTTTTTCTGTCCAGGATCCCACTGGGGATACCACACTACATTTAGTTGTCACGTCCCTTTAGGCTCCTCTTGGCTGTGATAGTTTCTCAGACTTGCCCTGTTTTTGATGATCTTGACAGTCTTGAGGAGAACTGGTCAGGCATTTTGTATAATATCCCTCAATTGGGATTTGTCTGATGTTTATCTCATAATTAGACTGGGGTTGTGGGTTTTGGGAGGAAGACCACAGAGGTAAAGTGCCATCCTCATGAAAGCCTATCAAGGGTACATGCTATCAACATAATCTGACTGTTGATGTTGACCTTGACCACGTGGCTGAGGTAGTCAGGTTTGTCACGTATCTCTCCTTGTAAAGTTACTCCCTCTTCATACTGTGCTCCCTGAAGGTCACTATGCTCAGCCCACCGTTAAGAACTGGGGAGTTATGTTCCCCCCTCCTTGAGGATGAAGTATCTATATATTTGGAATTATGCATGGGAGATTTATCTTTTCTCCCCCTCTTTTTCATTTATCATACTTTAGGTTACAATCCAATATTATTTTATTTGCCCAAAATTGTCCAGCTTTTGCAAGTTCTTTCAGGTGCCCCGGATGGCCTTTGACACACCTCCATCCTCCTGTGTGTGCGTGCGTGCGTGTGTGTGCGTGTGTGTGTGTGTATTGGAGGACTTCCTTCCTTCCTGGAACCCTAAGGCACTCCATGCTCATCTTGTATATGTCCTGCCCCAGTTCCAGAATCAGCTGGTTCTCCCTGGTTCCTTGTGTTGGTGGATGGTATTAGAAACCAAGTTTGGGTACCACGTGTGCTTGCTGCTGTCCAGTATCATTGTCTAGGCTCTCTGAGCTGATAGAGAAAGGAAATGTACATGTGTATACTAACCTGTGTGCATACACACATCTATAAATATTTCTGTATGTAATCTTCTGCATTTAAATTAAGCTAAACATGAGTTCATACTGATATCTCCAGTTTTTTTTTTAAAGATTTTTATTTATCTGAGAGAGAGAGAGAGAGAGAGAGAGAGCACAAGCAGGGGGAGGGGCAGAAGGGGAGGGAGAGGAACAAGCAGACTCCTTGCTGAGCAGGGAGCCCAGTGGAGGGCTAGATCCCAGGACCCTGAGATCTTGACCTGAGCTGAAGTCAGACGCTTAACCGCTTAACCACTTAACCGTCTGAGCCACCCAGGCGCCCCTGATATCTCCGCTTCTAATCAATTACCATATGGATCATTCCAGCCTCTTCCTCAGGGGTCATTTTTATTATAGCAATGTTGCCTAGTAACATAGTGGACATATGTTTATCTGTTTCCAAGGAAACAGAGCTAGATAGTTAACCAAAGGTCAAATTCTCATGCAAAAGCGGAAGAGGTTTTGTTAACCCTTTACTCACACGCATCAGTGGCTCCCACGGCTCTGTGGGTAAGAACAAACTCCGTGGCGAGCTCTGCAGCCACCTGGCTTGCCGACAGTCCAGTCTCATCTCCTCCCATGTTCCTCCACGGCAGCCACCTCCGCCAAGCCTCACACAGTCCTTCTCTCCCAGGGTCTTTGCGCATGCCAGTCCCTCTGCTGGGCAGGCCTCTTTTCCCTGCCCTCTTTATCTGGCTGCCCCTATTCATCCTTTGGACCTCAGCCCAATCCTTGCTTGGGCAGGGGAGCCATCCCCATCTCCCGGACTAGGTCAACACCCTGCCGCAGGCTCGGCACAGCACTGCATACTTTTGCTTTATGGCCTTTACTGCGGAAGCAGTGTTACATTTTCTTGCCCTTTCCTCCCACTAGAATACGAGCTTCTTGAGGGTAGGGCTGCAGTTTACCTAGTTAACCAGTGTATGACAGGTGCTCAGTAAATATTGGCTCATTTGCTTCATTCTCCAGTTAATAAATATTTATCAAGGGCCTTCTATGGGTTGGCCCCTTTTCTAGTCTCTGGGGGTACAGAAGAGAGGGAGACAGGCAAAGCTTCTGCCTCTTGGTACTTACTTTTTAGTGGGCGTGACAAAAACAAAGAAATAAGCTCATGTCAGGAGTTGATAAATGCTATGGAGAAAAATTCAGAGGAAATGTACATGTGTATACTAACCTGTGTGCATACACAGGAGTTGATAAATGCTATGGAGAAAAATTCAGAGGAAATGTACATGTGTATACCAACCTGTGTGCATACACAGTCATGTCAGGAGTTTGATAAATGCTATGGAAAAAAATTCATCCAAAGGATGAATAGGAGTAAAGGGTGTTGGGGCACTGCTAGTTTTAAAAGGATGGTCTGGGAAGGTGTCTCCAAGAAGGGGGCATCTGACCAAGGACTTGAAGGAAGGACAGGAGCGAGCCCTGGGGATATCAGGCAGAAGAGTGTCCCGGGAAGAAGGAACAGCACAGGCAAAGGCTCTGAAGCAGGACTGCGCACTCCGGAGGGAACACGGAGCGCTTTACACAGAGGTCTCAGCCAATCACCGGAGCCCCTACTACATCCATTTCACAGATGAGAAGCTGGGCTCCAGGTGACATACGGCTGGGAGTGGCAGTGCCGGCAGGCACACGGGAGTCTGGGGTCACAGCTAGCTTCCCCTCAAAGTCCTGAGCAAGAGGCGAGCCTCTGAAGGCAGGGAGAGACTGAAGCCTCCCCACCCCCGAGGTCCCACCCGGGGCTCCACCACTCCAGCCTCAAAGGCGCAGGCACCCGGTTTCCAGGCCATCCTGGTTGACAAGGACTGCACAGGCCTTCGGAGCAGGACGTGTCAGGCTCTCCCATGAGGTGGCTGAGGAGCCAGGACAGGGCACCCTCTTCTGCCTACCCTTGCAGGTGGCCGGACCGGCTGGTCTTCTGAAAGCCCCCAGGGCGCGCATTTTCATGATCCCACCGACAGAGGTGAACGCTGAGGCTCACAAAGGTGAGATGACTTAGCTGAGGACATGCAAGTGAGCTGGCCTCCAAGTCTTCGTGGAAACCCCATGATCTTCGGACAGAACTCCTCTCGGTGCTGGTCCTGGGCCTCTAGAGATGGAGTGTCACCTTCACTTTTGCGCTCCGGGCACCTCCCCTGATTCCACCTTAATCTGGGCCCTGCAAAGGAAAGAAACAGTGAGCGCCTACCCACCTTTCATCCTCGCACACTGCGCTGGGCTCTAGGGGATCAGACCGGGCTGGCCTCCAGGAGCGGCCAGTCGGATGAGGGAGGCTGACCCGCAAAGAAAATAACTTTCAGAGATCAGAGCGATAATGCAAGCCAAGGGCCAGCCCAGCTGAAGGGGCCCGAGGTAGGCTTCCCAGGGGAGGAGGCACTGCAGCGGGGCCTTGGAGGGCGACCATGTGTGCAGCCATTGGCAATTCCCCAAGAGAACACCCACCTTGGACTGTACACCCCACTGTCCCACAAGAAGAGCCGGGAAAGGGATGGGGGTGTTCGTCAGAAGCTTCCTTTCAGCCTTCAGGTGGCGCCCTTGAGCCACGGAGCCGCTCGCGCCTGGGAAGACTGTCCCGATCTAAGGACCTGGGAGAGGACTCGGGTCCCACCTGGGGGCTGTGCGTGTTGGAGGGGGTGGGGGCGGAGGGAGCGACGCGGCTCCGTGCGGCAGGGACATCCCAGCGGGGGACTTGGGGGGAGAGAGGCAGGCGGCGGGGGAGGGGTCGCCCTCAGCACCCACCCCCGCGCCCCGCCCCTGCTCCCGGCCCCGCGGGCTCAGAGCTTCAATTCCCCGAGCTGGGCCGCCGGCGAAACAGATAAGCCCTCCGGGGACGGGGAGCGGCAGGAGCCCGATCCCCCGCCGGCCCGACACCCAGCCTGCTACCCGCCTCCCGGTCCCTCCCCGCGCTAACTCTCCCGGCGCCCTCGCCTGCCGCGGGCGGAGCTCGATCGGCGGCGCTCGGAGCTCCCCGGCCCCCGCCCCTGCCCCTCCCTCCTCGGAGCCCCCAGCGGCCGCAGCCGTAGAGCCCCGCGCTGCGCGAGCAGGTACGTGCGCCTCCGCAGCGGCTCCGGGCCGGGCCGGGGAGGGGGCGGGAGCCGGGGAGGGCGAGGCGGTGGCGGCCGGGCCCGCGCGCGCCCGGGCTGCGCCGCAGCGGAGACACCGGCGGGCGGGCGCCGGGGGGGGGCGCGCCCCTGCCCCGGGCCGCGGGCCGCCGGTACCCGCGTCTCCCGCGCGCGGAGACGGGGAGGGAGGCCCCGCGCAGGTACGCACGCGGACCGGGAACGGCGGGGGCCGGCAGGAGGCCGAGGGCCCCGGGCGCGGAGGGCCGGCGAGGGAGAGCTAGCCTGACCTCGCGGCCCGGCCGAAGGACACGCGGCGAGGGGAACCCGGGCGCGCGCGGGTCCGCGAGGAGTCGGGCCTCCCTGGGCCGCCTGGCCGCCCTGCTGCCGGCGCCGCCCGGCCGGCTCCGGCCTGGCCCGGCCCCGCCGCGTTTGTGGTCAAGGGCAGGAGCAGGGGGTGTGAGCTGCGGGCAGGCGGGCGCGCGGTGCGGCGGGCAGCCGGGGTGCTGGGGTTTTCTGCGCGGAACTTTGGGTATAACAGCGTGGACCTGCGTGTGCGTTTGTGCGCGCCCCGAGGCTTTGTGTACAACTCGTGCGTGTGTGTATCGATGGGGTTTTGTGAAGCTTCACCCACGGCCGCTGTGCGTCTGTCTCCCCGCGTGTTAGTGCGCGCGGGGGGGTGGGGTGGGGTGCTGGGCCCCAGGCGGGTCTCGGTGGGTGCCGTCCGGGGAGGGGTAGTTCACTGTGTGTGCGTAACCAGCTCTGCCCCTTCCCGGGGTGTGAGTCCCAGCGTGGTCTGCGGATCTTGGGGTCACACTGCGCGGCTTCCCATGTCTGGGCGCTGCCTGTGGTAAAGGTTCCTGGGGGTGTGCGTGTGGATCTGGGCTGTGTCTTTCGGGTCCTGTTGGACTGCAGATGAAATGTGAGTGATTGGAGTGTTACTGGTACGGTTGGCGGGGCCGCGGTGCGGTGAGCAGTGGACACCAGCGTCTCTGTCAGTTTGTTTCTGCTTGTGTGTGTGTGTGGGGGGGCAGGTAATTGGGCATGCCCTTGTATAACCGGTGGGGACTGGTGGGGATCTCTGAATCTGTGTGGAGACATCACAACTCTGGGTGACAGGGAGCCTCTTTCTTCTCTGCCCTTTTCCTAACTCTGGCATCCTAAGAAAAAGTTTTGGGTTCCTCCTGGGTGAAAGAAAGCCCTGCTCCCAGAATTTGGGTGTCCTGAGTTTCCTTGGGATATGGAGGCATCAGCATGCTGGTCTGGGAGGGGAGGTCTTTGGGCCACTCCAGGAGCTGAGTTCTGTGGAGGGTTCTGAAGATCTGGGTGGAGGGGGGCACATCTGGACACCCATTGGGCAGGAAGGGTCACCGCCCTTCCCTGTTTGTGGTGGCACTCAGGAGAATGCTTTCGGTGCCACAAGTAGAAAAGCCAGGCAGCAGAGCACACCATACCTCTCCTCTCCGTTTACTGGAAAGTGGGGACAGCCTGGGCAGAACCTGGCTCTGAGAAGGTTGCCCGCTGCCCCGGGTTGGGAGAGGGATTGTCTGCCTGGGCCGGTTGCCAAGCCCTTTCTGAGGGCCGGCCGTGTTCCAAGCCAGGGGGCTGGGACCCAGACGGAATTCAGACACATCCCTGCCCTCAAGCTGCTCACTGTGGTCTTAAACAGTGGGACAAAGTAGAGTCTACCAGTGGGAGCTGGAAGAGCCAGGGAGGGAGGGTGGAATGATGCCACGGGTGCAGAGAATGCGGGTTTGCAGGTTTGTAGGTGATAACAATTCTTAGGGAAACCGTATTCAACTTCTGGCCCCCACATGCATGCCAGGGGTCCTGCCATGGTTTGTAAAGCGGAGATACTAATTCCTGCTCATGGGGCTGGTAAAGGTTACAGGAGAGACTCCCGAATGAAGTGCCTGCTATAGGGCGGGCGGGTGCTCAGCAAACGTTTATTAAATTGGAACTCGGGAAAGAGGGACGTGGTGGTAGGAATGGGTTGTAAGTGGAAACAGGCTTTGTACTCACATGAAAGGCCCTGTGTGTGCTAAGAGGAGGTATCTGCTGCAAAGTCCACGTTGGAGGGAAGATCAGAAAGATTGAAGAACGTGCCTTCTTGCACTGAGGCTCTCTGAGTTTCATTCATTCATTTGTTCCATTCATTTGCACTTCATTTGCTCATATTCTTTCTCTCGCTCTCTCTCTCACACACACACACATGCACGCACACACACAGAACACAGGAGAATACACTCAGGTGTGGGAATGCAGAGAAACATCTAGAATCATGTGTATATGTGTGTGGAGACATACCAGGGTGTGCGAGCCACTCGGTACCTGGGGGTCTCTGTAAGCACGGGGACTTGGGTCTGTGTGCCTGGGCCCTGGGTATGGGTGCCCCCAGGATGTCGGTGTGTACAGAGAAGGTCAGGAGTTCTAGATGCCAGGTGGGAAAGGGGCCTGAGGTGGGAGCTGGGAGCGGGGGCAGCACTGGATCTACCAAAGGGAGGACGCATCATCCACTCCAGCTGAGGGTGGTTGTGAGGGAATGAGGGCCTACGTTGGCCAGATTCTTCCATTTTTGCAAGCGAAGCCAGGAATCCAGAGTTTAAAATGTAAAATCTTTTGCTTTTTATATATTGGCAACTACTTCAAAAACAAGTGAACAGACCAGAAACAGCAAAAAAGCAAAACTTCGACAAGCCAAATATGGTCCATTGGCTGAAGCTGGCATTCTCTGGCGGGAATGCACGTGTGCCGTCTGGGTGTGGGTGGGTGTGTCCGGATACTTGGGTGGGCTATCTCCTCTCGGAGCAGACACTGCCCCCTTCCCCCTGCCCCCTCAGCTCCCCTTCCGTGGCTCCCATCCAGGTCCCCCCCATCTTCTACTTCCATGAAGGCATTCGGCTTTGACCTCAGTCACGGCTCTCAAATGGGCTCCTTCCTCTTCACCCTCTGAGGCACCATCCCTGCACCCCTGGCCGCAGCAGACCCCTCCCTGGACCCCTGACCTCCGCTCTCCTCCGTCCAATCCTGTCTTCCATGCTGGAAGGAGCCCGAGAGAGCTTCCTGAAACCTAGGCAGATCAGCCCTCTCTGCGCCCACACCTTGCCTCCCTGGCTCCTTGGCCTGGCTTCCAGAGTCCTTTGAAAGCTGGTCCCCGCTGACCTCTGAGGCACCCCTCTCTAGAATGCCCTCGCCCCCCACCTCCCCAACCCCTCCCAGCTGGGGGATTTCCCACTCATCCTCGGAGGTCTGGTTCAAATGCCACCAACTCCTAGAAACTTCCTTGACTTTCTCCTCTTCGGCCCCACACCATCGTCATCACCTCTGCCCCTCCCCGGGCCCGCAGTCACCCTCATTTCATCCTGATAGTGTCCATTAATTGAACTGGCTGGGGCCTCACATTATTTTATGAAATCCCCGCATCAACCCTAGGAAGGAGGCGTTTTCACTTACTCCCATTTAACAGATGAGAACATTGAATCTGGAGGGGTCACATCGCTTGTCCAAGTTCGAGTGGTGAAGCTGGGATTTGAACCTGATGTCCACTGTCTGAATGATAACTTACTGAGCACCTACTGTTCTGAGTCCTTTGTATGGATGATCTCAATCCCTATGCCAGTCCCATTAAGTAGGGAGGAGTAGTGTTATTGTCACTTAATAGACAGGGAAACTGAGGCCAGAGAGGATAAGTAAATTGCCCAAAGCCGCGCGCCAGCCAGTGGTGAAGCAGGGTCCTGGCCTGGATTGGATGGCACCACTCTGTCATTGTCTGATTCCCCATCTATCTCCACCTCCGTCTGGCAGGCTCCCCCAGGCGGGAACTGTGCCTGGCCGCCCTCACATCGCTCCGGGCCGAGCATGAGGTCCGGCACCAGCAGGCTCCTGGTAGAGGTTTGTTAAACTTGACTGACTTTCTCTTTTCTCTTATAGCTGCCAAGGGGCCAAGGGATGAGCGGGGGCCCTCCTTCCCAATGGCATCTCCCCCCGGTCTGGAACTGAAGACACTGCGCAATGGCCCCCAGATCCCAAGGAGACCAGCTCCTCTGGGCCCGGCGGCTCCGCCCAGGGAGGGGGTGGAGAATGTCTGCTTTTCCTCAGAGGAGCACGAGACCCATTGCCAGAACCCGGGGGACACCAGACTGGGCAGATCCCCCAGCCCCCCCGGAGGGGGGGTCCCCTCACGGCCCCGATCCCAGCGGGACGATCTGTCCCTGCGTTCAGAAGAGGGGCCAGGCCTAGAGCCCGTGAGCCGCCCAGTGGATTATGGCTTTGTTTCTGCTCTCGTTTTTCTGGTGAGTGGGATCCTCCTGGTGGTGACAGCATACGCCATCCCACGTGAGGCCCGCGTCAACCCTGACACAGTGACAGCACGGGAGATGGAGCGGCTAGAGATGTACTATGCCCGCCTGGGCTCCCACCTGGACAAGTGCATCATCGCGGGCCTGGGGCTGCTCACCGCGGGCGGCATGCTTCTGTCAGTGCTGCTGACAGTCTCCCTGTGCGAGGGCGGGCTGTACCGCCGGCCCACCTTCGTCCCCGGCAGGGGCTCCAGGAAGACCTACGGCTCCATTAACCTGCGCATGAGGCAGCTCAATGGGGACGGGGGCCAGGCCCTGGTGGAGAACGAAGTTGTCCAGGTCTCAGAGACCAGCCACACCCTCCAGGGGTCTTAAGTAAGAGCCCACCCTGTGTGGCTGCTTGGGCCCCCAAGAGCCTGGGGTTGCAGACTGAGCTCCACGGAGGGCCCTGCAGAAGGAGCCTTGGGTGGGTGCTGGAAGGGGGGGAGTCCCAGGGCCAGGCCCAGGCGGCACGTGGGAGAGTGGCCCCCTGATCTGTTTGCAGCTTGAGGTTTTGCCTAAGGCTTGTTTGGAGGATGGCTTCTGCTGCTAAAAATACAAAAGTTTGGAAACCACTGCCCTTGGAAGATGAGGTTTCTTGGCATTTCCAAGGATTGAGAGCCCTTTGAAAAGCTGCCCATCCTGTTCCTCATGCCTTGGGGAATTCCGGGATCTCTGCGGTCCTCATCAGCCAAGTGTGGGTGTTGGGCGACCTTGGAGGGACCCCCTTTCAGCCCTGACCGTCTGTTGGGAGGTGGCTTCCCGACTAGAGGAGAAATCCGCACTGAGGTGACCGTCCCCTTTCCAGGCCTCAGTCCCCCTGCCTGTGAAAGTGAGAGGGTTGGACTGGATGATCCCTGGGGCCCCTCCAGTTCTGCCTTAGGAATGGGAGCCCAGTAAATCTCTGCTTCTGGCCACTCCCACAGGAAAGGAGGGTGTCCGGCAGCTGCGCACCATTCTCGGTGCCATTTTCTGGCCCGGCTCTGGTGGCCCCCACTGTCATACATGTAGCAGCCCACACAGTCCTGCCAAAGAGCCCCCTAAGTCCCCTGGTTAGGCTGGGTTCAAGTCCACATATCTTGCAAGGTCAAGTGCACAGACAAGAGGGCTCTTTCATACAAGAAAGGGTGAGGGCTTTGTTGTATTTCCGTGGACATGATGTGGGCTTCCAATACCTCCCCCTTCTCGATATTATGTCTCTGGGCCTCACCTTATTCAGGTAGTGGGAAAAAAATTTTTTTAATGCTGAATTTGTAACCTCCCTTCTCCCCCTTAGCAGTAAAGCGAGCCCCAGTGTATGTGGGGAGAAATCAGGCACGTTCTGGTGGCCTGGAAGCTCCTACTGACCACTGTGTGTTCCGTGTTTTCCTGTGGCATGTTTTTAGGCTCAGTCCAGACTCAAACTACTGACAAGGAAAGGAAGTGGGCCCTAGGGGGCAGGGAGATACAGGTGCTTGAGGACTGGGGGAGGCATCGCCCAGTGTGAACGGCCCTAGGGGGCTTGGAGAGTACATGCCTTCTAGGCCCCACTGGTGTGAAGACTCTAAAGGGGTCATTTCCGTGAGCCCCCTGACCCCACGCAGGTCCTACTCACTCCATCTCAGTTGGCCAGGTGGGCGCTGGATCCTAACTGTCCCTTGGAGGTGGAGGGTGGGGTGGGAATGGGGTCTGTAGGCTAGAGCAGTCCTGATTAGCTGTAACCTGAGCCTTCGCTCCGGCGAGCTGAACATCTGGGCAATGTAACATCACAGCTTCTAGGACAGATCAAATATCTGCTCCTGGCAGGTTTTGCCAGGAACAGAGGGGTTGGGGGAGGACTGGAGGGGACAAGGGCTGTTCAGCGTGGCCTGCGGGGTTCCGTTCCTGGCGTTGAAGGGGTGCGGTTTGAAAAGAACAAAGCCTCAAGTGGGTAAAAGATGCACAAGTCAGGGGCTTCCCTGATGGGTCGCTTGCCCCCACCCGTGCTCCAGAGGAGGAGTGGGTGCACAGAGTGGCAGGAGCCGTTCTAGGTAAACTACAAAGTCGAGTTGAACATCCCAAATGATGGGCTGTTCCAACCCTACAGTGATGATAATACAAATACTGGTCCAAGCCATATGGACTACCATGACGGCGGGGGCACATTTGACTCCAAACTGTTGAGTAGATGCATCTGGAACCATCAGTGCCTATCAGTTTAAAGGCAGTGAATTGTATTTAGGGGCTAAATCTGTTGGAAGTGGAATCCTGGGAATCCCAGGTTTGCTCGAAGCCAGAGAAGCCTGCTTTGCATCTTCCTGCAGAAACTCCTTTAGAAAATGTGTATAATGGATCGAGGCAGTGATTACCTTGTCAGTAAATTAAGAAAACTTGAGCGATGCCAAAAACATTTCCCCAAGGCTACAGCTGAGCTCTCCCAGCCTGTGGGGCAGAAACAGATGTAGGAAGGAATCAGGGAGGAGCATGGCGCAGGGTGCCGAGAACTTTCTTTGTAGGTTTTTTTGGGGGGTAGGTGTGATGTGGTCCCAGGGGACCCTGTGGTCACTGGAACGTGCTTTGCATGCAGGAACTGCCTCTCCTACCCGACATGCTACTGGGGTCCCCCAAACCTTGCTTCCCTAGTGTGTTTGATATCCACTTTGGAGTTGGTAAACCTGGCGTTGAATCCGGGCTCTGTGACCTTGGGCAAGCTACTTCACCTCTATTGTCTTCTCTGAGACGCGGGAGAGGTATGAGGTCCAGTCACTAAGATCCCTCCTTCCCCACTTCAGTTAGGGATAACTGGATTAGGCCTGAAACCTCAGGGCCCATATCCTGCCTGCCTTCTCTCATACCTCTCATCCTACCCATGAGCACATCTGGTTGGTTCTACATTAGGAATCTGCTCCCTGCCCAGTCCTCGGCCACAATTACCTGCTCCACATTGCACATTGCTATTCTAATTTCTCTCCTGTCCACCCTCTGTGCCCAGTTCATCTCCCACTTTGCAGCCAGACAGATTTAATTGGGTCAGGTCACTCCTCTGCTCAAAACCCTCCTATGGCTCCCTCTTACTCTGGGCAAAAGCCAAAATTCTCCTTCTGATCAGAAGTGGATGTACTGTCCAGGCCCTTCACTCGCCCCAGGCACCTTCCAAAGCCCTGAGTCAAAATTTTATTTGTAATTTTGATTTTTTTTTTAAAGGACGGCCCCTTAAATTGCATAAATTCAGGTCCCCCTAGATGTGGGTCCATCCCCCATGGTGGCCCATGAAACCCTACACGATCCGGCCCCTGTGGCTCTCTGACCTTATTTCTCACCCCTTCCTTGCCTCTCTGCTCACTCCAGCCACACTTGTCTCCTTGCCGTTCCTCAACCCTGCCATGCACACCCCCCACCTCAGGGCCTTTGTACTTGCTGCTCCTTCTACCAGGAAGGCATTTCCCCTTAATATGTGCAAGGCCCACTCGCTCACCTCCTTAGGGGCTTTATTCACATACCACCTTTTCAGTGATTCCTCTGCTGACCGCCTGTTTAAAATGGCACCCTTCCCTCATCTCAACTTCATTTTCTCTTTTCCTTCCCTGCTTTATTTCTCTCCAGAGCACTCATCGCCACTGCTGTGTTTTATCCTTACTGTTGCTCTCCCCCCCCACCTCCCCCACTGGATTGCAAGCCACAGGAGGGCCCAGGGCTAGAACAGTGCTTGACACCTGGTAGGTGTTCCGTGTCCAATGAATGAATGTAACCCAAGCTTCGTCTGCCTGCTGCACTGCACCCAGGCCCTCCCTGGGCAGGGTCCCAGAGACCCACAGCCCCTGCCTCACCCCCTGGAATCCCCTCTAGGGGTGGGAGATAGATAGTGACCAGAAGATCCTGTGGCTGGAAGTAGGGACAGAGTTTGCCCCTGGGACCTGAAGTTGGAGCTTGGGAACCCATTTGCCTTCCTCAGGCCCTTGGTACTGCTTCATGTGGGAGAGGTAGAGAGCTTTTTCCTCCGATGGAGGAAGGCAGTTCTTCCCCAGCCTTATTGGAGATGGGTTCCAGCTAGTCTTGGGGGACATTTACTGGATATTTAGGAGCCCGTGAGATACACCAGCCTGATTCTCTCTTACTCAAGAGCCTCGAGTGCCCAGGCCTAAGCCTGTGAAACAATGTCTATCCTCACCTCTGTTCACTGACCGCCAGGCATCCTGTGAGTCTTCAGGCTGAAAATACCTGCTGCCTGAGATTCTACCGTGATTGCTCCCTTCCTTGAGAATAAGCATGACCTTCTCTGGGATTCTCTTTAAAACGTCCCCCTCGGTACATGCACACACCTACACCTACACACGTGCAAGAGCACATCCTTCTGCATGCGTGCATGCATGTGCAGGCCTGTGCACACGCGTACACACGACTTCCTCTTGTCTGACCTAGCTCAGAAGCCAGGACACATCCTCTCGAAGCAGCTCCAAGCCACAGCAACCCCTGGATTATTGAGAACGTATTCTCTTTCTCCAGAAGTCACAGGCCTTGCAATTCCCAGGATGCTAACCTCACAGCAATAGTCAAGTTTCCCCTGTCCAGGCGATGGTGGTGTCTCTATCCTTCCTGCTTCCCTATGGGTCCGAGGGGGAAAGATGTCCGTGGAGTGTTTCCACCTGGCATTTGGGGAGGAGACTGTGTGGTCCTGGCGGGGGACCGGATGAGCTGGGTCCTGCAAGTCACCCCTTCCCTAGGGGCCTATGGGCCAATCACTGCCTCTCTGGTCCTCCAGAATGAAATTGGAAACCTTTCCACTCTGCCTTGTCTGGGGACTGAGGAGATCAGGAAACACAAGCAGAGGGCATTCCAAAGTAAAGAGCATGTTTCCCTATGTCTGGAGAGCTTTGGAGGGGCAGAAGGAGGGAGGGGGAGGGAGGCATTATGAAGCCATAGGAGCTGGAGTTCTGTCTATGGGTTCTGTCTGTGAGGAAAGTAGGGTGTTGGTGGCACTGACAAAGTCAAGGAGATGCCCTCCATCTGGGCCTGTTGGTTTCTCTGGGAGAGAGTAGATTCCCCTTAATGTCACCAAGGAGGTAGATTTCGGCTAAGGGAGGGAGAAGCTTGCCAAGACCTTGTCCTGGTTGGAGTGGAGCTCCTTGTTAGTGTAGGTATGTTAGATTACCGGTCAGGTGTTGGGTATCTTTAGGGATGGAGCATAGTAGAATTGGGGAGGATTTCAACAAGAGGCTCCCCCAGCTTCCAACCCCCATTCTTTAAGGAGAGCCAACATCCCAATGGCCAGAGCCTGGCCCTCTGTCTCTTCTTGTCTTCGGCCCAAATACCCTCTTCCCCAGATCATTCTTCTTTCTGGGTCATGTCATCCAGGAGCAAACGAGAAGGCCCAGGATATG